TATTTGAATGGCACTTGATGTAGTTTTGCCACCCGATGTCAAATATGGCTAACCAATTTTTAAACCTCCCTACTTTTAGAGTTATTGAGGTTTTTTCCACGTAAAATTAAAATTTTCTAGGAACTCAGGTTAAATTTTAGCCAAGTTAATTTAGATCAAATTGGTACAAAGAAAAAAATGTGTAGTAACGAACTTTTGATGCAGTTTACTTCTATTTGACACGTAGATCATGGATCCACAGTCTCATCCCTAAATTTCATACTGGAACATTCCGCTATCTTGGATTAAAGTTTTTTTTTTGGGTTTTTGCGATTTGCGATTTGCAAGCTTATTTTGCATTTTTGTTAAAAAACGGATGTATACAAATTTGTAGAGAATTTAATTTCCCACATTTTTTGCATAGAAACTATAAAAGAATAATAATTTTTATTGTAAATAATTAGCAAAAAGTGCGAGAAATTTTTGCATTGTCACGGTTTTCGCCATTTTTCAACAATTTCTTATAAAAATGCGTAGGATATTCAAATTCCAAAGTAAGGTTGTGTGTTGGGTTTTCCAGTGGCACAAAATTTGTAAAGCTAATTTTCAATTAGATTAGATGCCATATTTGAAACGCCATGTTGAATTTTTCAAAAGTCCTCACGGCTTTTTCTCAAAAAAAACTTCAATAACTTTAAGAGATGGGATGATTTGAAAATACTGTAGCTATTTTTGACATCGGGGGAGAAAACTCCAAAAAGTTCCATTAAAATTTATTAAATTTCCCACTGACTTATGGGCAAAATATTGACCGCTTTGTGAAATATTTTGGTATGGCAAATGTTAAAGCTGTTTTTGTTTTTCTTTTATTTATGCTGATTACGAATCCGTAAGCATAAAGTTTTCATTTGCTCCTGATTTTGAAAAAACCAGGTTAAGGTGTCGAAAAATTGCGGTTTTTGCGATATTTTAGAAGCTCTAGAAAACAAACAAAAGGTGATAGAACTTTCCTGGCTTCAATTAAACCAGGGACCGTAAATAGCAGTTATTTTTTTCCAACAGTTAAACTTGGCCAGATATTTTTTGAAGTTCGAAATAAAAGTCTCTCCGGATAGTAAACAAACCGCTTATCCAAATTAAACAAATTTCTTAAATAGCTTTTAAATAGAAATAACCATCGAAGGCTGCCACTTCTATTTATATTTTTTTTATAACTACCCAAGGTTTGTTCTATGATAATTAAGAACCATTTTTTATTTTCGAAATATTTTTCAATAGCTGGCATTCCGCTGGCTTTCCAAATTTAAATATTTCAGCTTTAAAGCTATTTAAGTCCTCTTTCAGTTGATACTAAACTTGTTTAATTTGGACAAGTGGTTTGTTCATTATTAGGAAGGCACTTTCGTTTTTGACTTAAAAATATCTGGCCAAGTTTAGCTGTTGAAAAAAGTAACTGTTGTTTACGATCCCTGAATTAAACCTAGATCTCACGAGATCTTAAATATTTGAGATCTTAAATATTTTTTACCATCATTATCTTAAACTAAATGATGGGAAATTTTTATGCATATTTCCCTCCACAGGGACCTGTACTCTAACTATTCTCATCAAATGTATTTTAACTGCGTTGCAATGTATTATTCACAAGTTGAAATATGTATATCACACAACTGAAAACAAATATATTAATCATGCAATGAAAAAAAATCAAAAAACATCAAATGTTAAATATATTTTTGGTTTATTGGCCGCATTAGCATATCAGTATGTATATCTCTACACTCGTGTGCACGTATTTCGGCCACAATCAAACGATAAGAAAGTGTACAAGTACCCAAGTACCCAAGTGAGCACCTTTGACGTATTTTCTGAAGTAGGTCTTATTAATAATTAGCTTGCTTACGTGTATACTTGACCGTACTCAGTGTTGCCACGGACAAATTTTTTTCCTACCAAAATTGCCTACCAAAACCAACCAAAATCTACCAAATTTTGTTTTTTTTTTTTTGAGTTTTTATTTTTTATTATTAATTTTTTTCAATGTCAATATGAATATTTTTTAAAAGTCGGGACGTGCAAGTGTCCCGATTTTTCATAAATCCCGATTTTCAGTGCCTTCTTTATTAAGTTAGTAAAACGTAAGCATCCTAATGCCAATAAATTTAACCTCTTCAAAAATTACTGACTCTTGCTAAGGAAGTATTTTGATTATTCCAGTAGACCTTAAAAAAAAAAAATATTTAGTGCTGAATGTAGGTGTCACCGAAAATGTAAAAAATATTCGGGCAAAAAAATTTTTTTTCCAAGTTGCCTTGCAAAAATACTTTAGACTCAGGGGTGTACGGCGAACTTTTTGTTTTTTTTTGGCTCGGTCTTGAGTATACTTACATACATACATACATCCTTATGTACATACTTACATACTTACATCGAAATGCATGTAAAGGCATCGATTTATAAGTACATTAAAAGGAGTAAAAAGGCTTTGAAAAGTCGCCGTGTTGAGTTGGCTCCCTGAGCTTGTATTCATGTAAATATATATGCATGTACAATGCAGTAAGTACTTAAACAGAACAGAATATAATCTTCTTAAAAAGAAAACTTCCAAGAAAGAAATGCAGTCAGAGACTTGATATTATCACCTTTTTTTCATGGCGTCAAACAGTTGTGAGTCACATCTGACGATGGATTATTATGCAACGTGCCACACAGTAGCATAAGGTAGCATTTACCATTATTGTCTTCTAATGTAACTAGCAGGCGAGGCAATCAATCGCCAATCTATATCAACCTCTTCTTGCCTATCAACTATAAGGGGATATTTCACTGGTGTGTCTCACGCAAGGGAACGCAGATTACTCAAACAAAGGCCGGTTACAATATTTAAGATAATAAATTGATAATAAATTGCTGTAAAATGTGTCATACACAGTTGGCAGATCTTAAATTTTTTCAACTTCCTTAAAGCTCTTATCGATATTTCTTTCTTTATCGTATATTAAAATATACTTCTTTGAACATTACTCTGATGGTTTAATCTCTTATGAGCAAAACTTAAATTATTTTTCATACCAATTTTGAATGCTGTTTTATCGGACACTCGGCCTCTTTTCTATCCCCTTCTGAATGAAAACTGCACATATGTATATACATATACGTATATATGCAGCTATAATTATCAACTTGATTAAAAAAATTACCTCGCACATATGTGCGGTTGAGGGTTGAAAACCCGCTAAATAGAAATGTGTCTCTTTCCGACGATGCATATTTGAAGTGTGAACAAAATCACACATATTTTCCAGATTTGGTAAAACATTTGAAATATCAAACCCTTAAAAAAAAAGCCAAACTATGGCCATGGCTCTGAAAGGGTTAACAACTAATAGAGTTATGTGCAGTTAAAAATTAATTTAGCTATAAGTAAATTCACTCAGCCATTAGACCACTTCCTATTGAACAGTACTGTTTTAATTAAAATAACAATGGGGCATTCCATTTCAAACAGATTTTGACTCTGATAGCAATTGTAAACAACTAAAAAGTCGAAAATGAGCTTTTGCCAAGAATTGGAGTGTCCACTTTGAATTGAAGTAACCGACAATGTAAATATTTCAACGTTTCAGTGATGCTTTCTTACAAAGGTTAGGCGTCTATACAAATTCTATATAGCAGACACAATCTGTTAACCAGAATGTTTTTTCTTTGGCCGGTACAACATCGGCTGGAAGTAAATATACACATATCGTTGTCGATAAAGTACAAAACGTTCGTAAAAAAAAATAATGCAAAACCGCGTATGTGAGGTTGCATAAATTAATTTCTAGATAGTAAAAACACTCATATTTCGAAATGGATCGCCAGTTTAGCAATGTTGAAGAATTCTAAACTTCGATGACAAATTATCGATGACCGGCATTACGAAGAATTTTTATTATAAATTTATTTCAAAATCATTATTTTTTATTCATATTTTTATGGTAATTTTTCATCGTTATAATATCCTGTTTTTTCGATAAAAAATTATCGTTACACTTGTATTTTTATTTTTTCGATCATTTTTAATCGTTATTTTATGATTTTTATTTTTTCGAACATACTATAACCGTTATTTTCAGATTAGATCATAAAAGACTTATGTAAATCGGTTATAAAGACGCAAAAATAAAATTCCAAAATAACGATTATTTCTGATCGAAAAAAATTAAAATAACGATTAGAGATGATCGAAAAAATCACATAATAACGATCAGAAATTATTGAAGAAACATAAATCACAAAATACCGATAAGATTTTGATTCTTTTTTTTTTATAAAAATCATAACGCTTACGGTCCCTGATTTTAAGATTTCCGAAAAGATATTTCGAAAACAATATTAAGATTTACAATAGTTTTTTTTATAAAAACCTCAAATTTCATTGGCCTTGTCAAATCGGTCCAGCCCACGGAAATCTTAGTATTTTTCCGAAATATTTTGGGAGAAGTTTTAAAATGCATTATATGTATTTTGTAATTCCGATTGGAAAACAGTACCGCTTTATTTGCACAGCCTGAAGGTGCGTTCACACAGAAACCAAGCGGCGCCGAGCGAAGCAAAGCGGAATAAAGCGAGGCTGCTGATGTTCACACTGAACGAAGCGAAGCGGAGCTTTTCTCATGGACTCTGCTGCAAATATACCACAAAACTTACCGTCAATGAAAAGCGGCAAAAATATTTACTCAATTTATTTGAATATTTTGATATCTTGTTTGCAGCAATGTTATGAGGGCGAAAAATTAAATAGAAAGTTCAAAATCAAAAACTGCTTTGCTTTTAGCTCCGAACCGCTTCTGAAAAAGCTCGAACACTTTCGTAAATGTAGCTACAGCAATTTGAAAGCTTCACGCACCATGGAACAGCTTCGCTCGGCTCGGCTCCGCTTTCTGTGTGAACGTACCTTAATGAGTTTAAAATGCAACGCGCTGACGAATAAATTATTTAATTTTTATATAGCAGTGATCTTCAATAGAAATATGTACCATTTTCTTCCGTCATGTTGCCAACGGAGGTCCAGTGACGCTTAATCCAAGATCTTTTGCTTTCACTTTTTGTGTAATTTCGATCCTTTTTCGTACCGCCTTTGTTAATTATACGTACATCCCTTATTTGTATATTTCACTTTTCAAATTGCGTTTTTTTTTTTTTTTGTTTCAAATAAATCGCGACATTCGCGTAAAGTGCACTCGCGTTCACACTTGGTTTGCGAGTTATTCGTTTATTTTTTTACCCGTGCTGGGGAGGATGTACGTCTAAGCCCGTTAACGGCGATTAACAGACTGATTTTTTAGAATTAGCGCTGACACATATTGAGTGCGCGATCAGTAGCAAATGAACCATATCGAAACACCTACAATCACACACCAAAGTCACACTTCATATCCGTGTACATACTTATGTATGTGGGTATACATATGTATATGCATTTGTAGTGGCACTCTAGTAAATAAAAAAAAGTGTCAACGTTATGCCGCAAACACGTTAGCTTGCCAAGTGCCTACTTTGTGAAGCGTTATCGTACGTGCGCGCTTGTATGTAGCCAATAATCATTACGGCTATTCACGTACGTATTGGTGAAAAAGTACTTGACTCAAAAAAAGCCACAGACGCAAACTGAGCGAACAAGGGAGACTGCACTGTAGTCACATACATACATACATATATAAGATCGGAAAAGAAGGAACCGAAACAGAAATAAAAAAAACAAACACACATTTATGATAAGAGGAAATACACATAAATGAAACAATGACAGACTATGGGTCTGCCCAGCGATTGTGGCAGCGAGGGCGAAAGTACAACCTGATAACAGCAAGATATCGCCGACGAAGAATTTATGGGCTGCACGATTATTATTGTTGTTCTCTAAATTGCTGTTCGCCTTTGAGAGCGCGTTAAGTAAAAGTGGGCTAGCGTGTGTGCGTGCGGCATCAAGCCGAGTCATCGGCGGCAGTGCGATAGCTTCAAAAAAAATTTCAATTAGAATTGCTTGTATTGGCGCACACAGCGACACTAAAGAGACGACAGACGACAGACGACATCAAATGGAAGCGATGAAAAATTGCTTCATTCAGGGAAAACAACAGCAAAGCTACACAGGTAGTGGCTGGCTACCTATCGCAATCACAGCAGTCACATCGGCGGTAGCAGCAACAACAAGTAGGGCATCATCAACAATATGCGTTAACATTGCATTGTCATGTTGTTTACAGTGTAGTTCGAAATGTTTAAGTGGCAACGGAAGCGCTGAAGTGTTATGCGCTTTCGGGCGTTTATGGTAACGCTTTTCTTCGCACAGAATATACTTGTTGTTCATCCATGGGCGTTCCAAGTGCATATGTTAGTACCCACATACGTACATACATACATACGTATGATTTTCGTAAGAGGACGGTGATAACATTCGATGAGCTGTGCTTATCTACTATTTAGATTGTGTTTTAAAGAGCATCTCAGACGATTTAAATGGGTACGAGCATTGAGTATTGTGAGTTTGAAACACGTGTATGTAAGTATGTACTTGTAGATTCTACGTATCTGATCCATATATGTATGTATGTATGTACATGTGTACATATGTATGTTAACAATTTAAATGATTACAAATTAATTGCGACTTGTCGCTATATAATGCAAAGTACTTTAATTAAAAAGTCTCGTAGTTCATTACTTTGTAAAAAAAAAAAACTTTGATACGATTAAACCGAACCCAGCGCTCAGTTTTGTGGCGGACGCTAAATGTAGGAAAAAGATATGCAAATTGCTATACAAGCTTTAAGAATGAAATTAGTATGCAATACAAAGCATAATATAGCGAGTATTTCTGCATCATTTGCTCAAAAATTTTGTTACTGAGTTATGCTAAATTTCCACTAGACATTGGGCCGTATAAATAAAATATAAGATATTGAGTTTTCTTAAAATGTCTGCCTTTCGATTTATTCAAACAAATTGAAGTTAAAGGTGTGAAGAAAAGCAATAGCTTAATTTTTAGCGGACTTCAAAAAAAGGATGAAATCGGAAATTTTTATTTATTTATGCTACCGCATAAATTTGGACCACGTTAACCGATTTATATCATTTATCACGAAATTTGGTACCTCAAGGGCTGTCTCAGATCATGAATAAAGTAACGGTACTCCTAAATGTTTATGCGAGAATTGAAGTCGGTTGTGACCTGTCTAATTTTATTCATGAAGTCTTGGCTTTAGAGCTGTGCGAGCCGCCTGGGCGCGTTTAGTTTAAACCCGCACCCAATAGAAAGAGCATAGTCCAAACTTTAGAAAAAGCTTCATTTACCACTCCGACCCCTGCGGACCCATTTAAAATGGAGTAAGGTCAGAATTTTGACAGATAAAATATAAACTCGCTTTGGGCCATCAACAGTATTTTTGCTTAGAACACTTTTCGGCATTGGCAGCCTTTGGGCGCGCATCAATCCAAATGCGGCTATGCTAACCATAATAATTTCCTGCAGCCATAATTCATTTTGAAAAGTGAAATTAGGCCTTCAAAGAAATAAGGAGGCGCTCTTAAATCCATTCACCGTTTCTTGGTCGGGTCGGTAGCGTGTATTTCTTTTCCCTGAAATAGTTTTTAATACACTGAAATAAGACCGTTGTCCTTCACGTAGCACTGGAAATTGAGGTTATTCCTTCCCTTTGAGACCAACAGTGACTATAATTGGGTGCCCAATGCTAACGTCGACAAATTTAAGCTTCGCATGGGACCAGAAAACCAAATTAAGCTTTACCATCTGCCTTTTCCTGAGTTTCGCCCGAAAAAATTTCGCCCAAAAATTTATATTCCGTCCATAGTAAATACATGGAAACCATAAGTGAAATGTGAACCGGTTCGGGGAAAATGAAACTCATGATAAGGCTGCACGAAATTTGTCCCAATGTAGGTAATATTGCTTTGTTTTAAAAACATTTAATAAGATGCTGGAGAGATTTCCATGACAACATCCGATGACGCGGCTCTTGGAGTATTCGAGAGATAAATTTTGCGGAAGATTTAGGGGCCTTTACGCATTGGCGACGGCGAGTACCGCACCCGATGCAACGATGAACTGTATGAGCTTTACAACGATATGGAGATAGTGCAGCGTATTACGATACAGCGGCTGCGCTGGCTTGGCCATATCATTCAAAAGGACACCGACGCTCCGAAAGTATTTAACTCGGAACCCGCTGGTAGCAGCAGAGGAAGAGGCGGGACCAAGTGGAGAAGGACTTGGCTTCAGTTGGCGCAGAATTTCTCTTCATCGCTCTTTCTCTTTGTCGTTGTCTTTAAATTTTGAGAAAAAGGGGCAAGACAAAAAAAAAAAAGTTTGTGATTGGATATTTCAGTAAATAAGTAATAGGAAATTCAAGCCAAACAATACTAACGGCGGTTGCTGAAAAATCTATTGTCTTTATAACTTTCTGGACGCCTACTTTACACACAAATTTGACAACTAATATACATTTTCAATTGTCTTGTCTCAAATTGTCTGATGTAAACGCAGCGTTAGGCGGTTACAGAGCCAAAGAAGAAGAAGAAGAACTCCGGTTTCATCCGATGAAAAATGATTTTTTTCCCCCTTCGGTCAGTATTTGCAAAAAAAAACATAATTAGCCTTACCATGAGTTTCATTTTCCCCGAAACGGTTCACTTATCACTCGTGGTTTCCATGGTTTTAGTACGGGCGGATGACAAATTTTCGGGCGAATGTCTTTTCGGGCCAAACTCAGGATAAGGCAGCCATGTATTTTCTATGGGCGGAATACACATTTTCGGGTGAACTTCTTTTCGGGCGAAGCTCAGGATAAGTCAGAATATTTAACTGAAATCATTTTCGTGAAACGGTGTAAAAGTAGAAAGAAAATCTGTATATTTGAAATTATTACACAATAACGCTGAATATCCACTAGGAATTAAATAGCAAAAATTGTAATGACAAAGTTGGGCATTAAAAAATAGTCATTAAGTAGATTTCCACATGGGATTTTTTAAATGGCGCCAATTTTTTGTGATTTCAATGCCTAGTGAAAATTCGGCATAAGGAGAATATTATGGTACATAAGTTTACCACACTGAAGTTCGTCTGCAGCTTATGACAATGAAAGCGAAGAACACCTTCTCTTATTCAATATACTAGAATACGCATCAACATAGCTTTTTTTAAAGATGTGAATTTATGAAGAAGGAAAGTTTAAATAGTCTTTTGTAATAGTAATTTAGTAAATTATGTTTTTGGGCTGATAACACTTATCCGTAACGTGCTTACTCCTATACTTCTATACTTTGGTCATAATTTAGCTAGAGGTAAGTTGGCAACAAAAAGAAGTTTGTATAATACCAAAAAAAAAAATAAAAACTTATTAGAAAAACGTGTCAATAAAGCGTGATAAGGTTTGATTTATAGTAGTTATAAAGCGAACCAGTATTGACTACTATTTTATACGCATTAAGAACGTACATAAGTAGTGACACACATATATACATACATATATGGGTACTTCTAGGGATTTTCTTTTAATCAATCCAATAACAAAACTGGTTTTTCCCCATGCGATGTACGTATGTATGCATGCCTGAGTGTGCTGTCCCATTTCGAATTTTCAAAAGTGTTTCGAAGATATATACCTTATTTATACCGACACATAAAGCGCTTTAACCCTCTTCGCAGTGATTCAAAACGGGTACATAAAGCAAATTTCAATACGCCCAGAAATTCAGAGGTGTATTGACTTGAATTTGTTTTCAAATCAGTTTTTTTATTTCTCACATCGCACAGTAAGTTCATTTGAGACCGATTTTCGGTTCGATACCTCTTCGGGTACCGGAATAATAGCCTAAAGGTGTCATATCGGTGTCAAATAAAACATAATCGGAAGTTGTTTAACACAGGGTTGCCATCCCGTCCAAATTTTAACGTTATTTCACAATATCCATTTTCATAATTGTACCGGGAGAAAACCTTCTCTAGAGAAAGTTTTATTGAACATAAATTAACTTGTAAGTATTAAGCAGATTTTTACCTTTTTTTCAATACGCACAATAAAAAAATATAAAGTTTTCCATAATAATATTTTTGTATCGTTGAAACTCGAATTTGTTTCAGAAAAAAATTTTATTCAAATTTATATAAATGAAATGTGAAAACTATAAAAATTTTTGCAAGTAATTTTGACAGCATACAAATTATACGCAGAAAGTTTTAAAAATGTTATTACCGATTTTAAGTTTATTATGAAAATAAGTGTTCACAAACTTCTTTTATTTTGACGGGTCGAAGACTTTGAAAGATTCTGTTCGCCAGCTGAGAGAGTGACTCAAAAGGAAAACTAAAAGACAAATATCTAAGCTTAGTGATATTTTCAAAACTTACAATCACTTGACTTTTTTTAATCTTTTGTGAACAAGTTTTTCCTAATAAATAAAATCTTTCCTTCTAAACGGGATTTAACTTAAAGTAAATAATCTTTAATTCCCCTTTTCGCTTGCAAACGTAATATAGAAATACCAATAAAAGCAAATAAGGGTAGCTGAAATTAACTGAGATTATGACCTCCAAGAAATGTACGTTTGG